TTGTGGAAATGCAGTTAGTTGTGCGACAATTCACCTTATAATACTTACTTTCCCTTAGACAAGTTGATCTTGCCCATTATTTAAGCCCTTGAATCCTCGAAACAGGTTAGACAGATTCTATATCGCAATCTCAGGCTGTCACTTTGTCGGCTTGTTGAGATGCGAATTTTGCGAAATCCACTCGTCCACCTACAATTGTGACATCGTCTCCGATTCGACATATTCCACGATGCAGATCGTCGGAAGGCAGATTTTGGCTTCCTTGTGCCAATGCACAATTTGTCGGAAGAGTCTTCCTAGTCCTCTTCTTCACCCACATTCTTTAATTCTTCCGATTGTGCTCGAGTCGAGTGAATGTTGCCATCGTCTGGACAATCAAGTTGGCCAACTTCCTGCAAGAAATTGCAATTCTTATCCATCCAGTTGAGGCTGGGCATTCATCGCTTGGTTGGTATACACGCCTACAGAATTGCTATGGAGAATATCATTCCGTACTATGAGATCTATTCACCCTATTTCGTCTAAGGTGATGAAGAACTGGTAATAGACCGATGCAAGGTCGAAACTGCAGTCCACCTTGGATGGTAACAACTTTCGGGAAAGCAAGGCCATGTGAAATTGAATGTAAACGTCAGCTCAACTCATATGATTGTGGGAAAATTCTACTACCAGTCCTACATCACTTTAAACGAAATTGGGTGAATACATCTCATAATACTGATTTACTGGTAGTCTCGAAACTCTACTCTAATACGAAATACGAAAAACTGAACGCAAGGGCGTTTGATTGAGGTTTCTGCCCACATTTGGTCATGGACTAAAGATGAGCTTGTCGGCCGCATGTCTAGGTTTGCAGAAATGAAGGTAAAGCATTGTTTGGGGAAGGAGATTGAGCAATGGCCTCCTACTCAATAGTGAAGATGGACGCGCTGAGCGTCAAAAATAGAAGGATGAAAAATATTTCATTTTCTATGTGAGCAGTTTGCAAGGCAATCAGAAACTTATGAAAAATAAATTAATCAGTCAGAATGATTTCAATCAGAAGCGAGGATCAATTGTGTAGAAGAAGAGGTTGTTCCAATGTGGTGGTACTTTGCAAAAAAAACGAGATTTTATAAGAAAGATCTAAAAACAAATGAGGATCCATAGGATTGCGTCATAAGTCTGATCAAATGCAGTCAGGTTGGAATTTTCATCCATCCAGTTGAGGCTGGGCATTGCTCGCTCGGTTGGTATACTGAATTGCTATGGAGACTATCATTCCGTACTATGTGATGTATTCACCCTATTTCGTCTAAGATGATGAAAGATTGGTAGTAGACCGATGCGAGGTCGAAACTGTCGTCCACTCCAGCCGCGATGAGAACAACTTTTGGGAAAGCAAGGCGATGTGAAATTGAATGGAAACGTCAGCTCAACTCATATGATTGTGGGAAAATTCTTCTTCTACCAGTCCTTCATACTTACACGAAATTGGGTGAATACATCTCATACTACTGATTTACTGATAGTCACGAAAACAGTACTTAATTCGAAAAAATAAAGTATAGTAGTCAATTGTTATAGCAAAACATACGTTTGCTTCATCAACAATTCCACCAAAAGAATATGATATGGCAAAACAAGGCCTGGATGAGAACAACTTTTGGTAAAGCAAGGCTATGTGAAATTAATTGGAAACGTCAGCTCAACTCATATGATTGTGGGAAAATTCTACTATCATTCCTTCATCACCTTAAACGAAATTTGGTGAATACATCTCATACTACTGATTTATTTGTAGTCTCGAAACTCTTCTCTAATACGAAAATGATTATGTGCGACATTTCATGAAGATGAGATTGGTAGGTAGAGCCCACCAGAGGACGTCTGGCTTCAATACGACGCTCATGCCGACGTAATTCACGAGGCATCCTCGCGCGTTTTTGGTGAAAACAGGCTCAACTTTACTGCCCCATATGATGGACATTGTCATAACCTGCTGGACTCACTCTTGCCAACGTAGTACGTTGCTAAGCTCAGCCGGTTGTCACCCGAAACGAGCGAGGGTTTCGTGTGGAATGCGTCGACATGAACATTGAAATAAAGCCAAACGGCGATCCGCCGTCGTCTTCTGGTAGCATTGATCTGTACATTTCTTCATCAAGCACTTTCATACGAACTGAAAGTCTGCACAACAATGCCATTTCAGGAGATCAGTCGAGCTTCGCTTTTACTCACACATACACGCCTACAACTGGCTGATTGTGAGCGGAATGGCTGGACTGCGCTAGAAAGGATGGAATTTTATATTTTTATCGTCAACGCAACCGGAAAAGAGTCCTCCCTAAAAAATGCTAGACGCGTATTGAGGCTCCGTTACGCCGAGACAATACAACAGCTCAACACGAAAACTGGTAACTGTCCGACACAAGCTCGAAGTCTTCTCGTCAAAATTCACCGCCCAGCCCTCAGACCGAGCAGAGCAGAAGTGGTGGATTGGGGAGTTTTGGCGAATAGACCAATGATTTGATTGGCTTCCAGAAAGCCCACAAAATGTCTGGCATTCCTTTGGGATTAGTGGACCAGGCAGGCGAGCACACGCACAAGCCTGCCCAAAGCCAAACCCCAGCCAGATTGGCACACGATAGTAGCGTCCAGACAGGAATTACCGTAAAAGGCGCTAGCAACCGGACTCGCAAATGTTGGGCTGGACGCTAAGGCAGCGATGTTTGAACGAGACTGAACGGGGGCCGAAAGTGGACGGATAAAAAGCAAGTGTGAAGTGGGTTTGAAAACGGTTTCGGTGACTGCAGAAGGTAAAATGGCGGTGTTTTCGGGTGTGCTAGGGCACATTGCAAGCGAACAACTCAAGACGCAAAGGCTGTAATTAAATGGATAGTAATTGCCGGTTGACAAGCTCAAAGGTGACTGCAGCAACAGGAGGGAGTCTGCCGATCAAGGCACGAGAACGGAGACGAGAAGAAGACGATGAAGGTGATTGTCTGAAAACAAAACTGAACGCAAGGGCGTTTGATTGAAGTCGCTGCCCACTTTTGGTCATGGACTAAAGATGAGCTCGTCGGCCGATTGTGTGGGGTTGGAGAAATGAGGGTAAAGCACTGTTTGGGAAAGGAGATTGAGCAATGTCCTCCTACTCAATAGTGAAGATGGACGCACTGAGCGTCAATAATAGAAGGATGGAAAATATGTCAGTTTCTATGTGAGCAGTTTGCGAAGCAATCAGAAACTTCTGAAAAATAAATTAATCAGTCCGGATGATTTCAATCAGAAGCGAGAATCTATTGTGTAGAAGAAGAGGTTGCTCCAGTGTGGTGGTACTTTGCAAAAAAAACGCGATTTTATAAGAAAGATCTAAAAACAAATGAGGATCCATAGGATTGCGTCATAAGTCTGATCAAATAAGGACTAGATGATACTGGTAACGCAAATGTCCCTCAAAGTAGAAAACGTAAAAACAACTTATCGCTTACTGCGTCCCATCATTATTGCCATGTGTTCTTTTAATTTCGAAGATGCAATAACTCAAAACAACATTCGAAGTGGATTCTTGGAAAGCAATCTGAAGACATGACCATGTTTCAAAACGAGGCCAAATCAACTTTTAAATATATGAAGACCAAGAAGTTGGGGTCTCTGTTATGGTCGCAGTTTTTTTCGATTTATAGAAGTGGGTTGACCCTGTTGTCGCAACTTGGTCTTGTTGTCAGGGTGACTTAATAAAACGCATCTATTCCGAAGTCGTCTCTCATAGTAGTTGTCATGATTCACTGATGATGCCGACCACGATGCCGGCGAAACGTTTGAGAATGTATCAAGTCCACTGTCCGATGCTGGGAATCATGAAAACTACTATGGCAAACGACTTCGGATTAGGTGCGTTCTACTAAGTCGCCCTGACAACAAGACCAAGTTGCGACAACGAGGTCAAAAAAATCAACTTTTGCTTACTCGGCTTTCCCATGAAATGTTCAGGCTGTAGAAGTTCTCGATACAGCCTCCTTCGCTTCTGACGAAAGCATGCTGCGTTCTCAGTGAGTACGTTTCGATACTATCGGGAATTCTTGAATAATAATTTAGTCACCCCAGTTTGATAGTTTTGAAAAATACTCACATCAAATATGGGTAACCTGATCGAATGAAATGGCAAATAGCTTTTTTCCTCCTCGAGAATCCCACCATAAATGTGATCTGGGAGCAGCCAGATTTCATCTGAAAGTAGGATCTGCCCTGTGACCCACTGGTGGCTGCGGATTTTTGTGTGTGGCCAGAGTGGTACCGTTGAGGTTTGGAAAAATTAGATAGTGTTCTGAGGCTCCTCTATCATTATTTAAAGCACCTTATGCTATCAAGAGGCAAAAATATGGGATGTATTCATCCAATTTCGTTTAAAGTGATGAAGAACAATTTTCCCACAATGATATGAGTTGAGCTGACGTGTCCATTGAATTTCACATAGCCTTGCTTTCACAAAAGTTGTTCTCATCCAGGCGCCAGTGGACTGCCGTTTCGACCTCGCATCGGTCTTAGCAACACCCTCAATATCTCATATTACTGATTTACTGGTAGTCAAGAAAACAATAGTTGATTCGAAAAATAAAGTATAGTAGTCGACTGTTATAGCAGATATACGTTTGCTTCATCGACAATTCCACCAAAAAAAGAATATGATATGGCAAAAAGCCTGGTCTTCCTTGAAATGCACATCTGCCCTGGTTAGCTTGTCAAGCTACCATCCTGCACTGTCGCGGTTCGACCGATGCGAGGTCGAAACTGCAGTACACTTCAGCTTGGATGAGAACAACTTTTGGGAAAGCAAGGCTATGTGAAATTGAATGGAAACGTCAACCCAACTCACAATTGTGGGGAAATTCTTCTTCTACCAGTCTTTCATCATCTTAAACGAAATTGGGTGAATACATCTCATATTACTGATTTACTGGTAGTCACGAAAACAAT